AAATTAGGAAAGATCTTGGCAACAATTAATTTTTCAATGATATTAAAGAAATTTTCTTAATTTGTATGAAAAATGAAACAAGCCTATATAATTGGGACGGAATGAGTATTAGAATTAACTTTAACTTAAATCAATTAATTGAGCCTTTAATTGGTTTCGATTATTTTCAAAATATTCTCTCTCTATCTCTCTCTCTCTCTCTCTTATTTTTAACCACACATTTTTCAATAAAAAAAATATTATACGTAAATCTAAATTTGTTCCTTATTTTTTTAGAATAATGCTATTCATCCTCAATGAGGTGGTTATCCCTGTCTATGTGGCTCTAAATGATAGGTTAAGTGAAAGGTGAATTTAAATGACTTATTTAATTTCATCTATCATTTAATACCATATTAACGTCATGTAGACTGTGATTGTAACCTCAGTGGGGCTAAATAACATTACTCTATTTTTTAACCATATATTTTTCATTAAAACACTATTTCAAAATACACTTTATACAAAAAAGAAAAAGAAAAAAAAAGTGGGGGATTCAGATAGGCTCTGAATTTTAAAAGGGGAGTGGTACCAAATTTCAACCGCTTCACCAACCAGGCTGTATTATTAGTATTGGTTCCTCCACGAAGCGCAGTAGCGCACGCTCCACAAATTTCTGGCTCCACATCCCAATTTAAGAGATTCTTTATTTATTGATTCCTTCTATAGTATTTTACTCAACATATTATTTTATATGATAATGATCAATTTATTTGAAATATGATTTAAATAATTTGAAAAATACAGTATTAAAATCGGTAACTAATCATATAAAGTAATTTGAAAGTCAAATTTTGTATTTAAAGAGTTTATCATATCCCCATCTTGTGCATTGTATTACAACCAATGATCGACATGTTCAACTCAGTTCAATCAGAAAAATCGAAAACTTAACTCTATGAAAAATAAAAAATCGAAGTAAAGTTTGATGTTGTTTTAAAATCCATATACTAAATCAATGTTTGGCCGAAAAAAAGAAGGGAAAATTGCAATTGGGATTCAAAATTTTTCATTTAGTTGCATATTTTATCCAGATCTTTAATTTTTGCAGCCACAATCTCAAAACTTTCATTTTTGTTGCAGTTGAATGACCATTGGTTGACCAAAATTAAAATTTTGACTTACTTTGACCAAATTAAAGAAGGATAAAATTGTAACTTTACATTTTTTTCTATAGAATAATTAAAAAAATTATAACGTTGTTTTACGGAAAACAATAGTTAACTTTTTCATTCTTTTGCATAAGTTGATCTCACCTTTTCCAAAATTGACTTTTTTTATATATATTTTAATAAATTAAC